GTACTAGCGGTGGGTGAAGCGTCTGTGTGCTTACTTTCTATTCAAATCATGATCCCTTGGTATCACAGAATTTTAAAGTTGGGGATTCTAAAGTTGGGGTAGATATAGGCAGATATAGATATAGATGTAGATCTAGATGTAGATTTAGATCTAGATTTAGATGTAGTAGATCTATAACTAAAGTGGTAGCTGTAGCTGTAACTGTAGCTAATTGGTACAACTATGTGAAAAATAGAATTTGCTTAAGAAAATGAAGTGGTAGTAGTTAACCAGTAGTATATCTAGTACTGAAAGTGCAACAACTACTAGTCTTACTTTTTCTGGTACTACTTCTGTTTTTCACATAGTAGTGCTAGAGCTAGATCTAGACTTAGACCTATAACTAAAGCTGTAGGTATAGCTGCAGGTGTTTGCCAAAACTCTCCAAGCTCAGTTCCCTGATGTGGTCCTTCCCTTTTATGCCAACAACGCTGCCCTAGATGGCAGAGTCTCTGAAATCGCTGGCACCATGCAAATCCTCCAGGACTTAGGCCCTGCCAGAGGGTATTTTCCTGAGCCCACCAAAAGTATTTTTGTGGGGCTACCAGGGCATACTCAGAAACCGCAAGAGGTGCTTCAGGAATTCAACTTTGACTTTCGCGATGGTTCACGCTATATTGGTGGCTTCATTGGAACTCCCAAGGCAAGGGATGATTGGCTCCAACCCCAGATTGACCGCTGGGTCCAAAGCATCAAGCTTTTTGCTGGTGCCGCCCGCCGCTACCCCCAGGCCACCTTTGCAGGTCTGACAATAGTCCCAGATGTGGGAGAGGCTTTCGCTCCAGTTGAAAAGGCTCTGGCAGAGGATTTTCTACCGGCCCTCTTAGGAGACTCAGTCAAGACCACCAACGCACTACGAGATTTATTGGCATTTCCCATTCGATTTGCTGGACTTGGTGTACCAGATCCACGGACAGAGGCAAAGGCTCACTTTGACATGTCCCTTGGTGCAACTGCAGATCTAATTGCGTCACTTCAGAATTCAGAACCACTGGATGCCCAGAACTACAGTGACACAGTGAAGAGCAACCTGAAGGCCCGGCGCGAGGCGCGGCTGGCTTCCCTCCAGATATCACTGAATCAACTCAGTAAGTCCAAATCACCAAAGGATCAGCGCCGCATCTCCAGGGGCCAATCGACTGGCGCCTGGCTAACAGCAACACCCCACATTCTCAATGGGACTGTCCTGACAGCAGAAGAATTTTGAGACAATCTCAGACTCAGATTTGGCCTCACCCCTAAGCATCTCCCTGCCCAATGCGATGGCTTCAGTGTTGAATTTACAGTGGAACATGCCATGACCTGTCCCAAGGGCGGATTCATTGTCCAGCAGCACAATGACATCGCCAGTGAATGGCACCAACTGTGTGCAGAGGCTTGGACTCCAAGTTGTGTGACTGATGAACCCAGAATACCAAACTATCAGCCACCAACAAAGAAGAAGAGCCACCGCAACACCAAACCCCCCCTGCAAGACCTTAGAGGAGATCTTTCAGTGTACCACTTCTGGAAGAGAGGCACAACCGTAGTGTTTGATGTCAGAATCACCGATACTGATGCTGATTCCTACAAAAAGACTGCTCCCTGGAAAGTGCTCAAACAGCTTTAAAGAAAGAAGAAGAAAAAGTATTTGGATCTGTGCCATGGAGCCCATCGTCATTACACTCCACTGGTCTACTCCATTGATGCCACGGAAGGCAAAGAAGAAACTGCAGCCCGCAAGCAGCTTGGCGCCAAACTTGCTGCCAAATGGGGGAGACAATACTCTCAGGTATGCAGCCTTGTTTAATCAAGAATTGGATTTGCTTTAGCAAGAGCAGCAAGCAGATGCTTGAGAGGCACTCGCGATGCCAGATTGAAATTCAATCAGCCCCTGGATTGGATCTCTCAGTCTGGCGTTCGAGTGTATGCATATTAACCCAGTCGGATTTCATCTTGTCTAGTTTTTTGTTAGTGTTTCCAGTGTGGTTTCCCACTGAGATATAGTGCTCGGAAGCACCAAAATCGGAGCTCGGAAATTGGAGCTCGGAAATGTCGGAGCAAGCTCCGAAGGAAACGTAAAGCATCGAAATCATGTTCGATGCAGCCAGATTTCACATTTCCGTGGAATTAACACGAGATTTCAGTGTGATTTCTCACTCGTTCGATCCAGGTTTTTTCAGGTTTTTCCCCATACCATACGTATGATCAATTGTGTGATCGTATGATTAGTTAGTAGCAAAACACTTCGTGTGTGACCGTAATACATAGTAATGAAGCACTACAGCTAAAGCTGCATCTAAAGGGACAGCTAAAGCTAAGCTAGAGCTAAAGCTGATACTACTCCTACTTCTTATTGCTTGGTGTATTGCTTGGTTTACCGGTTTTTGTATTGTTTGGTGTATCCATTGTTGTATTGCTTGCTGTATTGGTTGTTGTATTGCTTGGTGTATTGCTTGTTGGTGTATCAGAGCAAGCTACAGCTACAGCTACAGCTACAGCTACAGCTTGAGCTTAGTCAGCTATATTTATAGCTAGAGTAGCACTGGTGGAGCTAGTGTTACTACTACTACCAATCAACACTCACCAAACATACACACTAATCGATCAACACTCACCATTACACACTCATCTAGAGCTGGAGCTGGAGCATACTAGTAGTAGATATAAATATAGAGGTACATATAATTATAGAGCTAATATAGCTAAAGATACAACTTTGTGAAAAATAGAATTAGCTTGAGAAAATGATATAGTAGTAGTTAACCAGTAGTAGATCTAGTACTGAAATTACAATTACTACTAGTATTACTATTTCTGGTACTACTTCTGTTTTTCACATAGTAGTAGTA